AGTTCCAAAAATGCGAGGATGTGTACGGTCACGCCTTCACCTTGCCACGATCCACTGAAATACCTGAAACCATAAACCAAAACTGTACGCACGAAGCTTAGTGAGTTCCCCCAAAGTACCAACACACAACAATAGCACATATACAAAACAAAATAATATTGGTTCAATCAAACCTCGGGTTGGAATACCCCAGGCGCCTTAACCATTGGGTTGGAATGCCAACATACTATGGGTCCAATCGTCCTCGGGATAGAATACTCTCGGCCCACAACCATCGGGTTGGAATGCCCACATACTATGAGTCCAATCCTCATCGGGATGGAATACTCTCGGCCCACAACCATTGGGTTGGAATGCCCACATACTATGAGTCCAATCATCCTCGGGATGGAATACTCTCAGCCCACAACCATCAGGCTGGAATGCCCCGGTCTGTTAGCTCATGCACAAAGCAGAAAAGCCTCAACCGCCAATCAACCTTATGCACATATATCAGATAATCACATAACAGTCTACATACAGTCAAACCGATCTACAGATCACTAAGCATAGCAACATCCTATCTGTCGGGGTACCGATCTTAACATATCATAACCACATAGAAACATCCTATCTACCAGGATACTGATTTAACATATCATAACATTAATAAAGTAGGATAACAATCCAAAGGACCGACCTTGGTGCCTTCGAACTTGCTAGTACATTGAGGAAAAATCACCTCACACTGCTGAAGTCTCACGGATAAAACTCTAGCTGTTGGATGATATATTCCCAAACTGTCAACATCAAAACAAAACTCAATTAATAATTAGGTTCCAATACATAACCATAAGTCCATGATTAGGGTAAAAAGACTACTTTACCCCCCAACCTAGCTTGATTCAAGCCCAAGGCTCAAACTCACACTCCAAGGGCCCAAAAGTCAAACAATTAACCAAAGCCCAACATATGGCCTAATTTTCTAAATTGGGCCCAAACCCTTTACATGGACCTTACTCTAAAGCCCATCCAAATTCCTTAGTCCATATTCTTGTTATTAGATGGCCCATAAAGGATCCAAACATCTAGGCCCACTAGAAAGCCCATGTGATGACCTAATTTTTCAAAGAAGTTTTTTTTTTTTTTTTTTTTTTCATTTTTGATTAATCGAACACATTTCCATAAATTACGAAATCCAAATATATTTGTTTTCAAAACGCATGTCAAATACAACTTTTATTCCAAAACATCAAAGTGTCCCATAATTACGCCTGAGAGAGTACACGTCGCACCATCAAACCTTGCCCTTGTTCATGGGCTCCGATGTACCTGAAACAAATCCACAAACTATAAGCTAGCGGTTAGTGAGTTCCCCAGATCATACCCCACACACAAGCCACATAACACGTATCATATCAGCTATAAAATCTACCTCTAGCACATATCACATATTGATGGGTTTTGAGCATTCTAACACTTCCTAAGTGTACATGCAACCCTAATAACCTTGGATCTATGTTTGTTTAATTATCATGCAAAGTTGAATTCCAAGGTTATATTCCTATCTAGCATACATGGGGAACAATTTTTAACTTGAATGAAAGATAGAATAACTTACCTTGTTGTTGCTTATGTTCCTTGAAACCTTGTGAGCCTAGCACCCCAAGTGTGATGCCTCAAATGCTTCACACAACACCAAATGCTCTTGGAAAGACTTGTGAGAGAATGCACACTTCTTGAAATCGACCTAGCCCTCTTGTTTCATATGTGTACCCGATTTTGGTGGAGAATGGGATTCTTATATAGTGTTGACACATCTAGGGTTAGACCATGTAAACCCTAATGTGTCATGACTCTTCATTTCCATGACCCATGGGTTTGTAACTCCCATGGAGCATCCTATGGGTGGAACCCAACTTGATAATCCATGGAGCCTCTTAGCCCACTATACAAGATATGGATGATTTACATAATCAACCCATATATTTAATTAGTTATCTTTTGATCACTTAATTAATTCTTGATCAAACTAATCAAATAATATTATTAATATATTAGAACTTATAATATATTAATAATCTCCAAGTGTTATTTCTCTCATTTAGTCGATCCAATTGCATGGTGCCATGCAACCCAAATGGACCATGCCGAGTCGGGTCAAGTACATACCAGAAATAGTTATGGACTTAGACACCTTATCCAACACATATCACTTTAGCTCTAAAAGCTATCTTTACCATATATCATATATCACCTTAGCTATAAAGCTATCTCTACCATTAGCCATAAAGGTTGTCTTTACTGTTAACTATAAAAGCTATCTCTACCATTAGCCATAAAGGCTATCTCTACCTTTAGCTATAAAAGCTATCTCTACTATTAGCCATAAAGGCTATCTCTACCATTAGCCATAAAGGCTATCTCTACGATTAGCTGTAAAAGTTATCGCTACCACGTATCACTACATAAATATGTCACACACCTCTACACAACAATTATACCAACTATCATAGAATAAGCTGGCCTTGGTGCCTTAGACCCATTGTTATGGTGAGAAGACTCACCTCTGTCTGAAGAATCTAAAAGCTGCTCTCCTAACTATCTGTAACCTCCCGTGATGAACAATGATAACACTACCCAAGGTTAGGGCTAAACACATTCCAATTGAAAAAAACCCAAAAAGGTCTTCCTTAGTTAATGGGCCCAAAGTCCGTGTCCAAAAATCATTAATGGGCCTTATGGCCCAATAAGGCCCAATCATAACATTCATGGCCCAAAACAGATAAACTGGCCTACTAACCCCAAAACATGATCAAGCCCAATGACTAACGGAGGCCCAACAACTCAAAGGCCCAAAACAAATCCAAGTCCGTATGTTGTACGTACGCCTTGCATACTCAGTCCCTGGGCCTTATGCGCTAATTACACTAGGTTATGCCCAACATACTAACAAATTAAGCACTTTCTCCATTAAGTGCTTAATACTTGTTTCTCTCACGTCCAGTAGTGAAATCTAAGCTTGTTAAGACGATCTAGGGCATAAAGTTGGCAACTTTATTCCTTTGCATGTCTCATATGTTCCCAACAATCCCATTAAGACCTTTTCAAGGGTCTTAATCCATGCATCAGGTCCAAACATCCATCAAGACTTCATTTTTATGTTATGAATGGACCAAATGACCTCAAATCTAACATTTACAGCCTCTAGGGTTACCCAAGTCACAAGAAGGGATCCAAAACCACAAAGGTACAAAACTAGAAAACCCTAACTAGATCTAAAGAATAAGATGGAAAGGTAAAAGATTTATACCTCCATAAGTTCCTCAAGGTGAACTAGATGTAGGTTTTGGAAGTCCAAGGCCACTCCAAGCTTGCTTAGCAACTTCTTCTTTTTGAATGTCACTAAAAATGACCACAAGTACCCTTTCTAAGCTCAAAAATGATCTCACAAGATCTCACTGGAATAGAAGGACGAACTAAAGCTATGAAGGTGTCTAGGGTTAAGTCCAAGAGGCTTAAGGACGTTTAAATAGGCCTCAAGTATGGAAATTAGGGTTTTGGTTATCCGTCACGTATGCCCAACGTACTCCTGGTACGCCCCGCGTACATGCTGCCCCTCAGCGACCATCCTTTCATAGTACGCTAAGTGTACCCATAAGTACGCCCAACGTACTTAAGGGACTTATTATGCTGTAACATCCCAAAATTCAAAGCCAAAAATTTCATTTTTAATTAACTTATAAAATTGTTTACTGAAAAACATCATCAATAACATATAAGTTCATAAACCTATAAAAAAAAGTCATAAAAACGTGTCATGGAATAATAATAACATATTAGAGTAATCCCAGAACATCATAATGCGAAAATCATGTATGTGATGCGTTGCTACCATGCCGGCTCCTTCCCCTTCGACGGTACCTGAAAACAAAACTAGAAACTGTAAGCACAAAGCCTACGAAGTTCCCACATCATACCACATACCATACATAACACATAATGCATAACATAACTGGGTACTAACCACCCCTTCGGTCCTGTGGACTGGTACCTTGCTTAGCATATATGGGTGTTGCCCTCCCCTTCGGCCCTGTCGATCGGTACCTTGCCTAGCATATCAGGGTGCTGGCCTCCCATTCAGTCCTTTCGACCGGTATCCAGGGACTATTTCACCCCTACCACTACCACATAATATCATAGCACATACGTCATGAACTGTCTAACATAACTGGACACTAACTACCCCTTCAATCCTTTCCACCGGTAATGGGGTCTAACTTACCCCTCCTATCACATATCACATAACATCATAGGATATTAGCACGTAATCATAACAAGTAGCAACATACCATATAATTATCACAAAGACAATTATCTTTACTATAACTCTTACTAGTG